TTTACCTGCTCATGGGTCACACTTGAGTAGGCCTCGACTTCTACCCATTTAGTGAAATAATCTGTAGCCAGTAGTATGTACTCCTTTTGTTCCACATTCTTGGGTAACGGGCCCACCATATCAATCCCCCATTGTGCGAATAGCCATGGATTTGCCATTGCATGCAAATCTTCGGCAGGTTGATGCTTCATGGGACCGTGACGTTGACATTTGTCACACCTCCGAGTATACTCTTCTGCATTCCAGGCCAAGTACGGCCAGAAGTAACCTTGAGTCAGAACTTTATGCACAAGGGATCTACCCCCAGAATGGTTGCCACAGTCTCCGTCATGGATTTGTTTCAACACCACAAGAGCCTCAATAGGGCTTAAACATTTCAGGTAAGGACCTGAAAATGACTTTCGGTATAACTGATTGTTAATGAGGGCATATTTAGCTGCGGTGAGACGGAGCTTCCGTGCTTCGGACTTCTGGTTTGGAAGAACTCCATGCTTGAGGTAGGCTTCTAATGGATCAATCCAACATAGTTCTCGAGGAAAAACTGGAATCACCATTACTTCCTGCGGAGGATTAGTGCTGGGCTTGTCCAGGACGTCAATTGGCACAATCCGAGTCAGATCTTCATTTGAGGATGACGCTGATGTGGCCAATTGATTTGCTTCGGCATTCTCAACACGAGGTACCTGATAGAATTCGATCTGATTGAATCTCCGTGTAGTGTTCTCTACAGTTTCTTTATATGCTTTCATTCTTTCCTCTTTGGGATGGTACTGACCTGTCACTTGATTTATAACAAGTTGTGAGTCACTAAAAACCTTTAAACAACGTACTTGGAGGTTGCTGGCCAAGCGAAGACCAGCAAGTAACGCCTAGTACTCGACCTCATTGTTTGTAGCCGGGAACTTCAAACAAATAGATTGCTGCAACTTGGTGCCTTCTGGTGTTGACATTACAACTCCTACCCCTGCACTTGCTTGATTGGAGGAGCCATCGACTCGAAGTTCCCACTGTGGTTCAGGGTGTACCGGCTCTTCGGAAGTGTCTTCATACTCAAGAAGAAAGTCTGCTATGGCCTGCCCTTTGTGCGACACCTTTGGCTCATAAGTTATGTCGAAGGAACTAAGCTCGATAGCCCACTTGGTAATTCTCCCAGATAGATCGGGCTTAGAGAGTATACCCCGTATAGGATAGTTGGTGAGTACTACAATGCTATGAGATTCAAAATAATGCTGAAGCTTCCTCTTGGTATAGACCAAGGCTAAGATGACTTTTTCTGCTTTACTATATCGTGTCTCCGCATCTGTCATGGTCTTACTTGTGTAAAAGACTGGATATTGCCTCTTTCCTTCCTTTCTAATCAATGCTGCACTTGTCGCTATATTAGAAATTGCCACATACATAATAAGAACCTCCCCGGGTTTTGGAGCGGATAGAATTGGTGGTTCGGCCATGTAACCTTTCAGCCGACTGAGGGCCTCCTACTGCTGAAGTCCCCATATATCTTTATTCTTAGATCGTATAGCATCGAAGAATGGTTTGCACTTATCTGACAATCGGGATATAAACCGGCTGAGGGCTGCGATCCGACCGATAAGAACCTGCACCTCCTTGCGATTTTTTGGTTCCTGATTCTGGATAAGGGCCTTAGCCTGAGCCGGACTTACCTCTATCCCCCTTTTATTCACTATGTGGCTGAGGAATTGACCTGATGATACCGCGAAGGAGCACTTGGATGGATTCAGCTTCATGTTGTACTTTTTCAAGGTATTGAAAACTTCCTGTAGATGCTTCAGATGATCTTCTTTCTTCACACTTTTAACCACCATGTCATCTATATATGCTTCAACTGTCTTTCCCAATAGATTATCAAATATCTTGTTGACAAGACGTTAATAAGTAGCTCCAGCATTCTTCAGTCCGAAGGGCATGACTCTGTAACAATAAGTCCCCTTTTTTGTAATGAAAGCCGTTTTTTCTTCATCTTCGGGGTTCATAGGAATTTGATTGTATCCCGAGTATATATCAAGGAATGTCAGCCTCTCGTAGCCAGTGGTAGCATCAACCATCTGATTTATCTTGGGCAGAGGGAAGCTATCTTTAGGGCAGGCTTTGTTAAGGTTGGTATAGTTTACACAAACCCTCCACTTTCCATTCTTCTTTTGTACTACTACCACGTTTGACAACCACTGGGGATATTGCACTTCTCGAATGAAACCTGCTTGCAACAATTTGCTTACTTCTTTAGCTATAATGTGATTGCGTTCGGGGGCAAACCTTCGGTGTTTCTGCTTAACCGGTTTGAACTCCGAATCCACCTTCAGACTATGGCAGGAAACTAAGGGATCGATCCCTATTATGTCCGAGTGATCCCACGCAAAAGCATCTGCATTGCTCCGGATAACATCAATTAACGCCTCCTTTTCTTCGGACGCGGAGGAAGAGCCTAGATAAGTAACCTTCTGAGGGTCGCCGAGGAAAACTTCCACGGCTTTAAGGGTCTCCTCGGTGGGCTTCGCAATTTCCTCTTCCTCCTCTACCTTAAGATACTTGGGCAGAGGGCTCTGTAATTGCTATTTGGGTCCAGTTTTGGAAGCCACACCTGGTTGCTATTGAGTCGAAACCCTCTTTGCTTCAACTTGTGTCAACATATAGCATTCCTTTGCTACGACTTGATCGCCCCACAGATTAATTACTTCTTTCCCATCCAGAGATAAGCATCGCAACACCTGGTGAAGGGTGGACGGAACTCCTCTCATCCGATGTATCCAACCTCTTCCCATGATGAGATTGTAAGATGGATGGATCTCTGTTAAATCAAAGTTCTCCTTTAGAGTCCTCTTTGCCGCGGTTACGGACAAGTCTATTACTCCAAGGGGATCTACTCTTGAGCAATTGAATCCCATCAACGGGCTGGAGGTAGGTCGAATAGATGATGACGGGATCTCTAGCTGCTCAAAGACCATCTTTGTGATTATGTTGGCGCTACTTCCTGGATCTACCAAAACCCTCCTGATCATACAATTAGCCACTAAAAGACTGATGACCAATGGATCCTCGTGGGGAGTTGAACTCTGGATAGGTCGCCATCTCCGAATCCAATACTGATGCTACCCGAAACGATAGCATTGACTAAGGATATCTTCCTGAGCTTGTGGGTTGCCCTCAGTCTGGATCTGTATACCTCATCAGACTCTTGATCATCTTCAAACCTGCCATGTATTGTATGGATGACTTTTACTTGCGTACCTTCAACCTTGCGGGGATAGACCTTACAGGGCTTTGCATACTCCTTTGTCATGAGGTAATCCGTCAACTCACCTCTGGCGATCATATTCTCCACATGTCGCCTGAGGGATCTGCAATCATTGGTTGAATGCCCATAGTCTCGATGATAAGCGCAATGCTTGCTTTTGTCCCTTTGCTCCAGGGGTTGCTTTATTGGCTGCGGAGTTGTGAACTTCATCTTATTCTCTTGGAAGAGCCGAGCCAAGGTAGTTCGGAGAGGTGTAAATCCTTCCTCTACCTTTTGCTTTTTTTCAGGTGCCTGGGTGATTGGCGTTGAGGAACGTTGGCTTTTTTGAATCTTTGGAGTTGGAATTCTTTCTCGAGGCTTATTTTTCATTGTCACGAGGGTAGCGTGCTGCGCTCGGTAGACTATATTTTCCTCAAGCCGAATGTAGATCTAGGCCCTGGCATTGAGAGCCTGCATGTCGGGAGGAGAATACTTGACTAAGGAAGTGTGAAACTTCGTCCCCTGAATCATCGCAAGTTTAAATGTCTCTATAGCAGTTGCGGGATGACAATCCGCTATTTTTGAGGCTTCCATGTTGAATCTTGACAAGAAATCTTGCAATGTTTCCCCCCTTTTTTGCCTTACGGTGAAGAGGCTGGCAATGCTCTTCTTTTGCTTTTTATTTCCGCAATACTGTGCCAGGAACATGGTGCATAGAGTTACGTAATCCAGGATGGACTTATGCGGTCTATTCCTGAACCACTCTAGTGCTGCTCCTATCAAACTGGTAGGAAAAACTCTGCACATCCAAGGGTCATTACGATCATCCAAAGCCATCTTTTGAGCGTAATGATCTAGGTGCCGAGAAGGATCCCCCGTTCCATCAAACTGGGTGAAAGAAGGCATGGTAAATTTCTTGGGCCTCTCAACCAGATACACATCGTCAGTGAAAGGAGTTTTGACCAAGGAATTTTTGTGTTCTCTAGCCATCTCGGCAGGTGTCTGAATCTTCAAGAGTCTCTTCTCGTCAAAGGCATACTGAACACCTGCACCATCTGGGATTCCATTGGACTATACCGTAAGCTTATGGCTGGATTCGACTTGCTCATCCTGTGTGCGATGAGGACGTTATCTGAAGCCACAGCCTCGGATCTTGCCCTCCGTTGTTGCTGAACCTCATTTGGCTGAGCCTCATTGGGTCGTGCCCCATTAGGTGGAGCCCTATCAGGCGGAAGTCCGGTAATCGGAGGAATATTCTGACTAGGGGGTGCTGCTGTGTCACCCACTGGTGGCGATGGTGCCAACTGAGCTAGCGCCATTTGCAGAGTGTTATTCTGCTGTTGAAGCAAGGCAATCTGAGCCACGCTTGCTTCGTTTGCCTGACGAAGTACGTCAAATTGGTGTAGAAACTCTTCACGCATCTTCTACATCAACTCCGTCTGTTGATCCGTTGAAAATCCTCCATTCGACATTCTGGATGGTAGTTGCAAGATTCACCTGTGAAACAAAAACAAGAGTGGGGATATATTTGTATACGCTTTCCCACAGACGGCGCCAAAGTGTAGGTGCAAAATTTCGCTCAACCAATAATGATTGAAAAAAATAAAACAACTCACTCAAAAAACAATAAGAATAAATAAGAAAAGCGTATAGAAAGGCGTAGAATTGCTTGATTTATTTATTGGAGGTCTAGGCCTCTATTTATACACAAAAGATTGGTTGAATTATAGTAGGACTCGCATTGTTTGTCCTCCAATTCTTTCCCTACAGAAATTATTTACAAATAGAGCTCCTTTCTTTGTATAATTTTCCTTGTGCAGTAGTTTCTTTCTTTGTTGTATCCTTCTTCTAATATGACTAATTTCCTTTCAATGGATTTGGGTTGTAAGTAACCTGATCCATGTGACATTGCTAACGGGCTAGATCTCTTGTTTCGGGCTTGAGCAATGCTACAGAGATCAATTAGCTGTGACCTTGGGCTTGTGTCTTATGATTTTGGGCTATCAACGAGCTTGGACTGGGCTTTGAGCAGGATGGGCCTCTGACATTTGTGATGGGTATTTATATTGCGATGACGTGTACAGTTCTCATTGGAGAGAGATTTTTCCCTCCACACACTAGAATTTGTATAATTCACAAATTTCTCCATAGTAAAAACATTATAGAGTCGGCCCATGCCTTACTTTTCTCCACAAATGTCTCTTAAAACCTTTTAGTTCCAAACCGTCTATCCTGCTACTACCTAAATCTTCCTGCGACTGAGCTCCTCCGTTGCAACACATAAGCACATAGTGAACATCCAAAGGCATATACAGTAATATATTCATGTCTATATTCATTATTTTAATGGTAAGTTGGATGGAATGGTTTAACATGTATCTTTATAAGGTCACATTACGGTGTATCAACATGTAGCAAACAGAGAGTTTGATTATCCATTTACAATGAGAAAGACCATATATTTCCTTAGGTTTAACATCAAGGGAAGGAAATGTGGGTGCATATCAAAGAAATTGCCACTCCATGGGTAATCCAGCTCCTATCCTACTACTTGTGTAGCTACTATTGTTGATAAAAGTGGCCTCCCTATTTTGATGGGATTAAATCATGAACTTAGCTCAGATTAGTAAAAAAGTACCTTACTATTCAAGTGCACCCTCCTATCAAGCTATTGCTATCTGTTTCTTTGTTCTATTACCAATAATGTAGAAAATGGTAATCATCAGCAGAACTGGAGAGAAATGCTGTACATAAGGAGATTTAGGAACTTAACGCTAGAGAGTTGGCTAAGGAATTCACACGTGCAACACCGGATGATATATTAGGATATATTACCTCTGACCAAGGAAATTAACTACTTTGAAATGTAGACGTCCACCTCCTAAGCTAATTGCATCCTTTTTGAGTGTGATATCCTAACAAACTCTCAATTCATTTATGAACTCTTTAACAAATTTTTAAAAACCTTACATATTACTTAACCATACCAAAAGGATCATGCCCAAAACTCTTTAGTTTTTCAAAGTCCGCAAGCCATATACTACTAACAATATGTCTCAATTTTCTTCTTTCAAAAACTAGTTTACAACCACTTGGAGATGTCTGGCTTCATTATGACCCACGAAACTTCGTTGTACTCTTTACCACATGCTTAAACCATCTCAATTTTCAAACTTTACTTTCCAACAAAGAGTGCTAGGTTATCCCCCATGCACTCATTGACGTGCTCATCTTTTGAAGACTTCCACTTGTTTGAAAGGTGCCTCATATGTTCACATCTAATTTAATAGGGACTAACCCTAAATCTTCAAATTGCAGTAGTCGTTTAAATTTTACCACGTCCCTGTCTTGTTTCATATTAAATTGTGTCCAAATTTCATCTCATGCAAGTACGAATCTCACAAGCATTAATTGCAATTTCTTCTCTCATATTAAAACCAGTATACCACCTTCTGCAACAACATACCCCCAATATTGTGTCTGATAAAGTAGACTTCCTATTAGTTATCAACTCATCATGAGAACCCTCATCAAAGAGACCCGAGAATGGTAACAGATAGAGAGAAGCAGCTGCCACAACGAATGCTTGGAATGTAGAAAAACCCCTGCACAGTGCAAGCAATATCATTTAATCTGTTGAAACAACTCAGCATCAACCACGAAGAATAGTATTCATGCACAAAAAAGGAATCGGCATGAAGAAAGAACATTACCGGTTGTTCCATTCAACTTTCTCGGCATTGTTGAGTTTGGTATATCCCTTGAAGAACAAACCGCTGACTACCCCCGTTAATTGATAAACCTTCGTAAAAATAAAATAAAATAAAATCTTAAACAGGTAAGGGGGGAGACAAGATTAGTGAAAAACAGGTTTTGTTTTAATTTTCAGGGGAATTTTTTTTTTTTTTTTTAAGTTACAAAATAAAATATCGAAAAATAATTATAACAACACTGACAAATATAATGCATGCGACAGCACAGACAGTCTCTTAGATCTTGTTTCCGCGTGGACAGTCTTAGATCTCATTCATTTTCATTTCCAATTCAACTTAAAAATAAAATAAAATAAAAATTCAAAGAATTTCAATTTGGAAACACTAAATAGAATTGCTATTATAAGGGAATTATTCAAATTCCTAAATTTATTAGGCCTCTGATTTAGAATTGTATTTTATTTGATATTTGATTTGGTTAAACAATAAATTGCATTCCTTATAAAACAACAAATTTGGATTAGAATAAATACGTAACTAGTATTGATTGAGACCTATATGAACGAGAATAAAAATGAGAGGGATGTAATCTACCAAGAATCAGGACTCACAATAGAGGCCTATGAGGATTTTCAGGCTTTCACCTCACAAACCCTGTAGAGAGGTTGGTAGCTTGAAGGAGATACCACTAGGGGGCAGATAAAAATGCAGGGCACTTGATAGGCACTTGATACTGGGAGTGATCAAAATAGCAGAGAGTGCTTTAGAGATCAATTACCCTAACCAATTGGTTCTTGAGCGTGATGGCCATGATAGCATTTACTATTGGATGGTGGGAGTTTTACAATGATATCCATGTAATAAATATATGTATTGAAGTATATGACAAATATGAAAGATGAGAGAGATGTAGAGATTAGAGAGAGAGAGAGTGCTGAGAGAGAGAGAGAAAGAGCTGATAATGTTATTCATTTTTCACACCTCAATTGTGTACACATGGTATCAATTTATAGCCTCCAAAACATGGGCACCAAGCAGCTTCTTTAACAAGCTGCTTAGTTAGCATTTGTGTTTCAAGACAGAATATAAAATGGGAAAAAAAAAAAAAAAATTTGAATAACTACACAGAAGATGTGTGTTTGACAAGTTGTAATAACATACAGCAATTCGATTTACCAGTCAATAATATGGTACAATCTTAGGTCTTGTTTGGATATTTGAGTCTCATGCAGTCCATGTGAATTAATATATCTCTGATGAATGTTACAAAAAAAATCTAATGTTCACAAGCACCTAAATATTTAAGAAATGGTACCAATGGGTGACCTTAAAGCTAGGGATTGCCATGCATTCATTTGATTGAAGTGGACCATGTGGGACTTATATGTTTCATACGATTAATTATCAGCTATCAACATTTACCCCCAATCATGTCAGTATATATATATATATATATATATATATATTGATTTCAAATTGTGTTGTACAAATTAATAAATATACACACAGATTTTATAATAAAGTTGGGCAAATTTAACTTTTCTACTTTCCCAAACCCTAATCAAGTAAAGTAGCAGAACTTTAGACAAAATTGATTGCCACGTATCATAAAAACTTTGGATATATATCTTTATCCCCACATGCTGTAGTCTTCTTGAACCTAACCTCATCTCTATTTGGTTAGGACAAGGGTTCACCATTGGAAAGGCCATCTGATCAGTCTTTGTGTGTCCATGTTGTGTGAGGTTAGTATTGTAATTATGGGCAGATGATTGTAGATCACTATTTTTTGTTTCATTGTTCTGAGTATATATGATGTTCAATTTTGAAGTCATAATCCTACCCTAAATAACAGATATACACAGCATCTGGTCCATCCATACCAAATAAGTGTACTCATTACGAGGCAATGACTTTGGGGCTTTCACAATGCAAAATAAATGTTCACCAATTCTGTTTCTACATTTCAATTATGTGCCATGCCATTCCCTCTTCGAAGAGAAATTTTTACTTAGTTTGAGACTACATGGTCCAGGCTAATCACAAATTGACACTCTGTAATCTCATAATAAGACAGGCCTAATTTATTTAGTAATCTCAAAACAATTTCCTATTTATTGATAATTGAAAATTAAAAATGGTTCAAATTTTTATTTAGTTAATAATTGTTATCATGAATTTGAGTTTAAAAATGTGTTATTCCATAAACCAGACATTTATAATTCTTAAGTGTTATATTAAGTTGCATGGGATTGGTGCCTTTAATGCACTAATAACGAACAAAAAATATATAAATATACACACACTGACATTAATAAGAAAGCATCGACCTCTATATTGCAGCCATCATCTAATTGTAAGATATATATGTGTATATATATTTATATTTATTACTAAGAAAAAGAGGGGGATTAATCAAAAATCAAATTAGGTATCACTTTCAAATTTGTTTTTCTTACAATCCCTTCATCATATATTTTTTGTGGAATAGATTAAGTTTTTTTTTTTATAAAAAAAATTAAAAAATTTCCCACCCTTGTTTTTAGATTTTGTACTTGTATCACTATGCTACAACAATGTTAACTTACATTGTAGTCTCTGGATTTCATGTTTGATCTTGAATACAAGAAAAATAAAAGAATTATAGCTGCAAGATATTAAAATTATAGAAGCATATTATCACTAGTACTTAATTGCTCAAGGTTCTCTCTGACACACACATCGTGAGGCAGTTGTTACCTCCTAATACTACCAAAAGTGTTCAATGATCCAAACAATATTGAAAAACCTGAATGAGTAGTTGTTAGTTATCAAATGATAGACATATTGCCGGCACAATTTTCTGTTTTGTACAAGGAAGAAAAATTGCCATTCACCTTGAACTGAAAAATATGCTTTTAATTAGAACTAATCAACCCAACAAAACAATCATGATATGTCTTATTTACAAAATTACGAAAAATAAATTTAAGATAGACTTAATTTTTTAAGTTATTTTGTATAAAGTGATTTCTTTAACGTATATATGAACCGTGAATGAAATCATGAGCACGACACGTGAAGATTTTATGTTTCCATGACCAAATTTCTCAAGAATACTTGCTACTGATATTTGATACATTAAGTTTACCCGTATAAAAGGCAAATTGAATGCTTTGTTCACAAAAGCCTTTAAAACTAGGCTTCATTTAGCAGTTGCGAACCTTAATGCACCTCCCTTCTTGATGGAGAGTCCTATCCCTATAATTTATGTGTGGTCTTTACTATTTAATGTCCATTACTCCAATTCATATTGACTGTTTTTATGTCACACCACCTTCTTTGCTATGATTTATTTATTATTAATGTTGGTGCAACCCCTCGGACCTTTGAAAATAATTTTTTTTCTGTCTTTGGTTAACATATATTTGTGGTGGTTGAAATTTTTTATTATTATTATTTTTTATTATTATTTTTTTGGGACAGTGTATTGTATCAGAACTAAAGCATGAAACATTTTGGTAATACCAAAAAGCTTTTGATAAAGAGACAAAAGTAGTAAAAATATTGTTCAATAAATAAATCAAAAAACATTTAAACATATAATGATCCGAAGGAGACAAATCAAAATTCCACTACGCTACACAAATCAATTTGTGAAGTTGACCACATGCTCTGTGACTCAAGACTAATATAGCACATGACGATAATAAAGGCAAAGTTTATATTGACATTGTCATATATTATCTAAGTTATACAATCTTTTTTAATATGTGTCGTTTTCACGTTCTGAACGCGTTCTTTCTTTTACACATCGTACACGCTCTCACTCAAATTCTCATTACTTATGACTTAATTAATTCTATCGCTCTTACCCTTCCCGTTCTCGAATTCGCTTTCGTTTCCGCTCTCACTTTATGTGACTTTATACATAACACTCATACACAAACACGCCATATTTATTGATTAATTATATTTATAGCATTTTAAGGGACTCTGCTGTGAGAATTGATGATTTTTTTATTCCATCTAAGTATGCATGTATGCAGTGGTTGTAGGACAGGACCGGTGATTTTATATATATATATATATATATATATATATATATGTAACATACATGTTATTGGGATTCATATGCCATAACATAGCGAATTCCTATTTAGATTAAAGTGATAGGTTCCTGACATATCTGAAATATTTATGCTGTATACAATTGGTGAATTCAATGTATTATGTTTCGATTTATTATGGAATTGATAGTATCCACTTGATTACAAGAAATATTTATATATGTATGTAAAAGAGACCAATACATGAATACAAATAGTAATCATAAATAATTCATAGTCGGTAATTATGGATGGACTCATTATTAACTAAGACTTGAACTGGATCCACGTTAGGTTGAGATATATTGCGAGAGGCGTCGTGTGTAATTGCTCCCTATCACTGTCATAGCATTTGACTCTCAAGTATGAGAGAAGTATAGACTATTTTATTAATTAATAATTACTTTGATTTGTTCGGCAGATACTTCGGGATCAATAGATCGGCACTTTGGGTAGTTATCTAATTAATAGTTAGAGGGTTATATTCTCAATATTTGCATCAGTGCTACTTGTATTTATTTTATATTGATTATGGTTAGTCACAAATTAAATTCGAAGGCCTTCGTATGTTTTAGACAAAATGATTTATTAAATATTTATTTATTTAAATTATAATTTTTGTCAAACAAATGTTTTATTGTGATCAAGCCGAAAATAATCAAAGGTATCAAAATAAATATATTAATTAAGTAGTCGAATTTATGGCTTTATTTATCCGATAACTAATTATACATAGAGGGGTCAAAGTGCAATATTGACTTAGAGGTTATTTACTATTTAATTAGAGTACAATTAATTTCTTTTAGTGATGTATAAATTAATTTATGAATTAATCAAATTAGGTCATGGTTTAATGGACCAGACCAATTATTAATTTATAATAGCCAAGAAAATAGTAAGCCCAAAGAATTCTCACTCATAGCCCAAGTTGATATTATGATACCCTTCGATACTAGAGCCACGGGTGATCAAGTCCGAGCACAGATCCGAGGGATATCAGACAATCAATATGTAAACAAGCAGGAATAAAATTGAATTAAGAATAAATTAATAATACGCTGAAAGAAATCTAAAATAAAAAAAATCCTCAAACTTTAAATAATAAATTAATATCATTTAAATCCTTCAAATCCGTACAACTCGGGAATCCATCTAGTGGACCCCTAATAATTCCAACTGGTAAAACGTTTACAAAATTAAAATCCAAAACTAAAATAAGAAAGAAAATCCTATATAGTCAGAAGAGTAAGTGTCTGTATCTGCATCAACACGATCAAGCTCTAAACCTGGTACTGACGAACACCTGAAAAATAAGAGTTGGGTCAGGCCCACATGCAAGTTCAAATCTATTACAATCCGTACATAAACCCGATACGCAGATATATCCTAAATAGCTCGGCAATATCTAATAATAGTCTATATATATATATATATATATATATATATATATATATATATACACACACACACTATAGGATACTCACTAATCTATAGTCATCACACCTGAGTAAAAGGTAACACGCAAAACGCCGTAGCGTCATCATGCACACCCAGACCTACCAGGGAACGTCATTAGGTCCAGTTATCCATCCATGCGATATACGCACCCTAACTGTGATCAGGAGACTCAAGTTCGTATCACGGTACCATAAGTATATATATAAATTCCTTCCTAATACTGAAAAGTAAAGCAAACATCCGTTATGTTGTTCAACTGTCTTAGTTGACAGGACATGCATCCATGTAGGATTTAACTGTTTTAGTTAATCCATTTCGTATGTATGAAGAGGTAGGACTTAACTTTTTGATCTAATCCTTCTCTGATATGCCACCGTCTCATACCGGTGCATACAATGCATATGATCCACAAATGATGCACACTCAAAGGAACATCAAATATATCCAGAACCAACATAATAGAAGTTAGATATTATTAAGATTCTATCATGCATCCAATATATGATTATAATCATAAAACTTCCATTTAAATTGCTAAGTAATACTAACCAATTCCAACTATCCATATCCACATAATTGACCGAACAGAAATTAGAACAGTTCATCAATTAACATCCCTAGCATGGTATAATGATATTCAGGATAATAAACTAAGCACGTTATACCAGAATTCC